ACCTAAACAGTATTGTGAAAGAGGTGCATAAATAGATGCAAATCATGGCAAAAACAGTTTGTAAACAAATATTAAGAACCAAAATATGGATATATTCAGACAGTTATCACAAACGTCAATGCTATGAAAGGACATTCATTCCCAGTCCAGTAAGTGAGTTGATTCATGTGTTATAAAGATAAACTAATATCTCGCCCTGGAGCCATTAGTAGGATTAAAGATGGTGATATGACTGAGCACTGAGAGTCCTTCACAATGCAAATGCTATTTCTTGCTCTGCAACTGGAGGGTAAACTGGTTTAAAGTTGGAGAGAAACCACACCATGGATTCTGGAACAGCCAGTTATGGCCTGTTAGTCAGTGAACCCATGGAATGGATACCCATTTATCATGCCTTTCATTGGTGTTCCAAAGTATTTTACAGTCAAAAATGCACTTTGAATTGTTGTCACAGACAAAATGTGACATCTAATGCACATAGCAAGGTCTGGCCAACAATAATATGATAATAAAGACCACAAAATCTGTTTCTGTTTTGTGACATTGATTGAGGAAGCAATATTGACCAGGATACCTAGGAGAATGCCCCTACTCTCCTTTGAACATTGCCGCAGGGTGTTTCAGGTCCACCCAAGAGATCAGATTTAACCTAAAGGTGTTTAACATTTTATCTGAAAGATGGCTGCCCTGGCACTGTAATGCCACCTCAGTCCTGCTTTCATTCAGGATTTGAACACGCAAACATCTGAGTGATGAGTTTGATATATTCACAGCTACCAAGTTTGGGTTTTGCCAGAGCCACTCAGCTCCTGACGTCATTACATCCTTGGTTCAAATAGGAACAAGGACAAAAGGGCTGAATTCCAGAGGTGAGGTGAGAGTGACAGCCCTTGACATCAAGGCTGCATTTGACCGAGTGTGGCATCAAGGAGCCCCAGCAAAACTGGAATCAACTGGTATCGGGGGAAAACTCTTTGCTGGTTGGAGTCATACTTGTCATACAAGAAGATGGTTGACATCTCTGCAGGAGTTCCTCAGGATAGTATCCTAGGCTCAATCATCTTCAGCTGCTCCATCAATGACCTTCCCTCCATCATAAGGTCAGAAGTGCAGATGTTCACCGATGATTGCACAATGTTCAGCACCATTCATGACTCCTCAGATACTGAAGCAGTCAGTCTTCAAACGCAGCAATATCTGGACAATATCAGGTTTGGGCTAAAAAATGGCTACGAACATTCACACCACACAAATGCCAAGCAATGACCATCTCCAATAGGAGGCAATCTAACTATCACCCTTGACATTCAATGGCATTACCATCACTGAATTCTTCACTGTCAACATCATGAGGTTACCATTGACCAGAAACCCAACTGCAGTCGCCACCTATATGCAATGGTTATAACATTAGGTCAGAGGCTAGGAATCCTGCAGCACGTAGCTCACCTCCTGACTCTCCAAAGCCTATCCACTATCTACAAGACACAATTCGGGAGTGTGATGGAATACTCTCTGCTTGCCTGGATGAGTACAGCCCCAACAACACTCAAGAAGGTTGACACCATCCAGGTCAAAGCAACCCACTGATTTGGCACCACATCCACTAACATTCAATCTCTCCACCACTGATGCCCAGTATTATCAGTGTGTACAATCAACAAGATGCACTGCAGAAATTCACCAAAGAACTTCAGAATTAGGTTTATTTGTCACGTGTACTCAAGGTAGAAAGAACAGGAGTAGACTATAAGTGTACAATGTCACCAATATATGGTACCATCTTAGGTACAAAGTACCTAGGTACAATTAGCAGGTACAAAAATAGACAATACCTTCCAAACCCATGACCACTTCCATCTAGAAGGACAAGGTCAGCAGATACATGGAAACACCAGTAACTGCAAATTTCTCTCCAAGCCACTCACCATCCTGACTTGTAAATATATCACTGTTCCCTCACTGTTGCTGGGTCAAAATCCTGGAATTCCCTCCTGAAGGGCATTGTGGGTCAACCTACAACGCATGGACTGCAGCAGGTCAAGTAGGCAGTTCATCATCACCTTCTCAAGGGCAACTAAGGTCAGGGAGTGAGGCAATAAGTTCTGGCCTAGCCAGCAGGACTCACATCCAGTGAGTGAGTTAAAAAAAGATTAAAAGATGGACCTTGAATGCCATTGCTCCACCATTAGTGAACATGCCTTTAGCTATCTAGGTTCGAGTTTCACTCCCTAAATGTCCTTTCTGTCTACCTCACTCTGCTTCTTAACATACACCTTAAAAGCTACCTGTTTGATAAAACATTTGGAAACCTTTCACATTATTCAGAATCCCTACAGTGTGGAAACAGGCCATTTGGCCCAACAAGTCTACGTTGCCCCTCCGAAGCGCATCCCACACAGACCCAGCCCCCTAACCCTGCATTTCCCCATGTCTAACCCAGCTAACCTAAACATCCCTGAACACTACAGGCAATTTAGCATGGCGAATCCACGTATCCTGCACATCTTTGGGCTGTGGAAGGAAACTGGAGCACCCGGACGAAACCCACGCAGGCATGGGGAGAATGTGCAAACTCCACACAGACAGTGAGAGCCACCGTGCCACCCCTAAACCTGTCCTGGTAGTTTTTAACACATCATATTCTGTCTGATAACACATTTTTGAAACACCTTAAGATTCTTTAGAAGTGCTATGCACATACAAATTGTTATTGTTGGGGTCCAGAAGACCCATTCTTATTATGCCAGATTATAGACATTTGTGCTTCCATCAATTTGTGGTCAGCGCTTTGAACAGCTGAGATCAGGACTCTGAGTCCACTCACCTCCTTGCTGGTTGAGTTAAATTGGAAGAGTGGAATTCCTTCTCCATTGTCAGGAATCTTTTGATTCAAGCATGATGGCCACACTCAGGGTTGCACTTATCTGCCATGAGTTGTCGTGTTGGCGAACGGGCTAATTCTTAACATGTAGACCTTTGCATGTATGAACTGGATGTCCCACCAGGATCTGAAATTTGGGATTTGCTTCCTTTTCCTTCCTCCTCTGCTGCTGCTCTGCCTCACCACTAGGATATTTGAACTGAAAGCCGTGAGACAGCTTGATGGACAAATTACACAGAAACATAGAAAATAGGTGCAGGAGTAGGCTATTTAGCCCTTTGAACCTGCTCCGCCATTCATAATGATCATGACTTTGACCCCTTTAGCCCTAAGAATTACATCTAACTCCATCATTCAAAGTTTTGGCCTCAACCGCTTTCTGTAGCAGAGAATTCCATTAGCTCACGACTCTCTGGAGGAAGGAATTTCTCCACATCTCCGTCCCAAATGGCCTACCCGGTATCAAACAGGAGATCGTGGAATACATTGAGCACTTCCCATTCTTCAGCAGTTACCTCACTCAAAAGGCTACCATTGACAAGGAGATGCAGCAATAAATGATGGTAAAACTTCTGCAAAGTTAACAGCAATGAACCGGAAGCTGTGTTGGATGCACTGAAAATCGATCCTTATGACTCTTCTTCTGTCAACACTTCAATCATCTTTCTCTGAATGCTTCCACTGGTTAGTAAAAGATAGAAGATGGTTGGCTTCCTTAGAAAAGTCTCTGATTTACCCAGTTAAAAGTTACAGTTTATAGCAACAGTCGCAGGAAAGATCAACTGGTTTTCGTCAGGTCTATAGTGAGTTTTGACTGCAGAGAACGGAGAGACTGCTCTTGAACTAGGGAAAGAATAGAACACTTCTCTCTCTCTCTGTGTGTGTAACTTGTTCCCAACTCCAAGCTGTTCAGTTAATTGAGATTGCTTCTATTTCCATCTATTTGAAATGTTAATTACATGATCCCATCTTTCAGTTATCTTTGTTTAAAATTAGATTGCCCATCTTTTAACAATTTCTTCCAGTTTTTAACCAGAGGGAGCTTAGAATGTAAAACTGATTACTTGATAGACAAATTGAGGTGAATAGACTAACTGCATTTAAGAGGAATCTAAAGGTAATGTTGTTAGATAGTAATCTAGATCTGAAACATACGCCAACACAAGATGCAAGTTCAGATCCCATCACTGTCTCTGTAGAATAAATCTGTCATAAAATATCTCATTCATAATGACTATGAAAGCACTGAATAGGTGTAAAAACCCTATCTTTTCTTAGAGAGATAGTAAACATACTTTAATAAAACAGGTAATTTTATTCTCGTACAGTGCTTTAATCTTTATTTATCCAATTTGCAACCTGTTGATTTTTTTTCTTATTCTCTGGGTACTGGGAACTTTTGGAGAGAGCCTACTCTAGTTCCCTATCCCCTGCAGTATAAAAACCTGCCTGCAGTATAAAAACTCTCATCCTTCCCTAGACTACAGTTGACTTCAGATCAAGGTGGTCAACTCTCAACAGAAATGACCTCCCACTATCATCCTCACAGTTCACAACATGTTCAAAATTTGTGTCATCTACACATTTGTACTCTCCAGTGCCCTGTACCCCCAAGTCTAGATCATTAATATGCACGAAGAAAAGCAAGTTGCCTTAACAAGGACACCTAGGGGCCTTCATTAGAACGTCACAGCAATACAAGGTTTAGAGCTCGAGGCGCAGTGGCTCTACATGAGTTCAAATCCTACCTACTCCAGAAATGTCTCATAACATCCATGAACAAGTTGATTTCTTTTACAAAAATAAAGTCTACAACGGGAGATCTGGCAAATACATTTCAAAGCTCAGCTAGAGTACAGAATGGAGATTTATAATTGATTATAGAAACATAAAAGCTTCGTTTTAATTGGCATGAAATTGCATCGATTTGTCCCTGTGTTTCTAATCGGCCTTTAGGTTTACAATGTGCAGAGGTAGGCGACGGTGGGGCAAACACAGAGAGGGTTGGACTGGCGACTGAATCACAGATTTAAAAGCTTTCCCCCTCTGTGTGTGTGTCAAGAGCCTGACGTATGAGGCAAAGTGAGTGTCTGGGCTTCAAAAGGGCGACCTAGCAGTCAATAAGCAGGCAGTGCGAGACGAGCCGCGCACATAGCGGCAGAGGCAGAGAACAGCGCTCTCTATCTGATCAGGCAGAGCTCCAGGCAGAGTCGGACTACAGCTTACACATTGCAGGCAAGTTTTTATACTGCTGGGGATAGGGGAGTAGAGCGGGCTCTCTCTAAAGTTCCCAGTACCCAGAGAATAAGAAAAAAAAATCACCAGGTAGGCAATTGGATAAATAAAGTTTAAAGCACCATACAAAAATAAAATTACCTTTTTTTTGTAAATGTGTTTGCTTACTAATATTATATGTATTTCGTTTCCGTTAAGACTGTATTCTGGGGTTCACCTTTCAATGACTCCCTCCTTTCCTGACCCATCTCCCTTCTCTCCTCCTCCCTCCCGATACTGCTCCTTCTCCTGCCTCCCCACTACCTGCTCCCAATCCTCTCCTTCCCTCAAACCTATTTTCTCACTCTCTCCCTCACCCTAGCTTTTTTAACCCCTCTTCCATGCCCCTTTCCCTCTTACTCTTCCCCCTTCCATCTTTTCCCCCTCTCTTGCTTAACCCCTTCGCCTTTTCTCTGCCCATCACTCCCCCTTTCATTTTCCTCCACTCCCTCTTTTTGCTCCTCCCTCCATCTTTGCCTTTTCACCTGCACTCTCTTCTCTCTTCCCCTCATAACTCGACCTCCCATCTCTCCTGGTCACTCCTTCTTCCCCTTCCTTCTCCCTCTACTGCCTTCCTCCTTCTTCTTCATAGCTCTCTTTTGTCCCCATCTTGTTTTCTCTCCCACTCCTTCACTGAGTGTTCTCAAGGGACTGTATTTTTTCCAGTTCTAGTTTGGACATTTTGATGTTGGCATATGTTTGGTCTGGTGGTTAGTCTCAAGTGTGTTTTGTCTGTATGATCTATGGGTGGTTAGTACTATCACTTTGTTGACTGTCAGCTAGTTAACCAGAAAATACAACATTAGATATAGTTTTACGCTTAGTGACATGGAAGGCAATTTTAAACGGTCCATAATACAATGGGTTAGGAAAAACAACTGGAATTCACTTTATTGTGTAGATTGTGAAGTGAGGAATTTGCTTATAAATGTATATTATTGGAAAAGTTGTGTCTTTAAATCAGGTGCAGGCACTAAACGTGAAGCTTGCCATTTGAAATGGTGATTTGAAGACAAATTATGACAGATTAGCTAATGCTCAATGGTCCCTAGTGTGCAGAGATTGAAATGAGCTGCAACCCGTTAATTGCCATTTGTAGCCAGAACATTATTAATACAGCAATGTAAAAGCAGATGATTAATACTGTGTTCATTACAAGAAAGGACAAATGTTCCCTGTGTGTTAGAGCTACTGTAAATATAGTGAGCCAGTTTACTTTAGTCTTTGTCCTCTGCAGCTACTGTAAACACAGTGGGAGCATTTAGTGTGGCCCTTACTGTCTTTTGGGGTCAGGAATGATGATTCCTGACTTGCCCAGGCCTGTTGAGATGCTGTCAGGTAACTTGTAAAATTTGCTGCTGCCTTCTCATCTACCTGAGTGTCACATAGAGGCAGGAAGTCTGTCCCTCTTAAAGATAGGCTGTATGGAGTTATAGCAGGCTGCTGCTGAATACCATTGCTGCAACTGTGAACAAGGCAGGTCAGACACTAGGCAGGAAAGGGAACTGGAGGATCACTGATGTTACACTAAATTTCTCAGTGGACCTGCTTCTTTTTGGGAGCAAGACTCACTCTCAGAAGTGATTGGAAGTAGGTGACCAGTCCCAGTATCTGAGGACTTGGTAGCAGTGTCACAAGAAGTATAATAGTCTTATGTTGGTGGCCAAGATCAGGAGCAGGAAGGGGTCCATATTGTCTCTTGAACCTTCACTGTTATTCAGTAAGATGTTGGCTGACCTTCTGCCTCAACTCCACTTTCTCACATCCCCCAACTCCTGTATCCCTGGATTCCCCAAGACATCAGAAGCATGAATATATTCAACAGTGGAGCATCTATGATACCCTGGGGTAAAGAATTCCAAAGATACACAACTTTTTTAAGTGAAGCAAATTTCTCCTCCGCTCAGTTCTAAATGATAAACCCCGTATTCCAAGCCTCTGCCCTGGTGATCAAGATTCTGCAGATGGACCAACAACTATGTCAAGCCCTTAAGATTCATTTGCATTTAAATAAAGTCGCCTCTCATTCTTCTAAACTCCACGGAATATAGTTCTTATTTATCTAACCCCTCCTGATAGAGCAACTTTCTTATCTTTGGAGACAATTTGCCTTCACTGTACTGTCTTCAAAGCAACTATATCCTTCCTTAGATATGGAAATGAAAATTGTGTAGTATTCTACATCTGGTTTCAGTAAAGCCTCATACAATCAGAGTAGATGTCTTTATTCATGTACTCAATAAAGGCCAATGTACATTTAACTTCCTAATTGCTATTTTTAATAGTCTTCATACCAGTACATCCAAGTCTGTCTGAACACCAACACTTAAACATTTTGCAACTTTAAAAAGCAAATTGTGTTTTTCCATTCAAATTTTCTTTTTATTCTTTTGTGCGACTTGAGTGTCCCCGGTGAGACCAATATTTGTCGCCCACCCTTAGGTGACTTTGAGTGGGTAATGGTGAATGTTAGTTGAATTCTTGCAATCTACCTGGTAAATATACTCACAGGGCTGTAAGGAAGGGAACCCCAGGCATTTGACCCAATGACTATGAAGGAACAGCAATATTTTTCCAAGTCAGGATGGTGATCAGCTAGGAAGGGAACATGCAGATATTGATGTTCCCATGTATCTTTTGTCCTTGTCCTCCTAGATGTTTGTTTAAGGAGATTTGTTGAGGTACAACAATGCATCTTACAGATGTTCCAGACTGCTGCCGCTATGCATCAGTGGTGGAAAGAGTGAATATTTGATGTGGTGGATGAGGTGCTGATCAAGGGTACTGCTTTGTCCTGGATGGTGTCTTGAATATTGTTGGAGCTGCAACCACCCCAAAAGTGAGGAGTATTCCATCACATTCCTGACTTGGGCCTTGTAGATGGTGGACAAGCTTTGGGGAGACAGGAGGTGAGTTACTCATGCCAAAATTCCCCAGCCTCTGACCTGCTCTTGTAATCATAATATTCATACCGCTAGTCCAGTTCAGTCCTAAGGTTGTTGATAGTGGGATTCAGCAATGGTTATGCCACTGAAAGTCAAAAAGCAATGGTTAGATTCTGTCGTGATGGAAATGGTCATTGTTCATAATTTCTCTGGCACAAATGGTAGTTGCCACTTATCAGCCCAAGTTTGGATATTGTCCAGGTCTTGCTGCATTTGGCCACAGACTGCTTCATTATCTGAGGAATTGCAAATGGTGAACATCGTACAATCATCGACGAATATTCTCACTCTGACCTTATGATGGAGGGAAGATCATTGATGAAGCAGCTGAAGGTGGTTGGGTCTAGGACACTACTTTGAGGAACTCCTGCAGAAATGTCCTGGAGCTGAGATGACTGACCTCCAACAATCACCACCACCTTCCTAGCCAGATATGACTCCAACCAATGGCAAGTTTTCCCCCAATTTCCAATGATTCCAGATTTGCTAAGGCTGCTTGATGCCATACTCGGTCAAATACAGTCTTGATGTCAAGGTCAGTCACTCTCACCTGATCTCTGGAATTCAGCTCTTTTGCCTATGTTTGAATCAAGGCTGTAATGAGGTCAGGAGCTGATTGATACTGGGGGAACCTAAACTGGGCGTCACTGAGCAGGTTCTTGCTGAGCAAGTGCTGCTTAAAAACACTGTTGATGGCACTGCCCATCACTTTACTGATGGAGCAGTAACTGGCCAGATTGGATTTGTCCTGCTTTTTGTGTACAGGACATACCTGGGCAGTTTTCCACATTGCTGGGTAGATAAGTGTTGTAGCTGCACTGGAACAGCTTGGCTGGGGAAATGGCAGGTTCTGGAGCACAAGTCTTCAGTATTATCGCTGGAATGTTGTCAGGGCCTGTTGCCTTTGCAGTATCCAGTGCCTCCTACGTGGAGTGAATCAATTTGGCTGAAGACTGGTATCTGTAATCCTGGGGACCACTGGAGCAGGCTGAATGGATCATCCACTCAGCACTTACCATAGAATCATGGAATCCCTACAGTGTGGAAACAGGCCGTTCAGCACAACAAGTCCACACCGACTCTCCAAACAGCATCCTACCCAGACTCACCCCCCCTACCCTATAACCTGTAACCCACATGGCTATTCCACCTAACCTACACATCCCTGAATGGTCTCTTTTCACACTGTAGGGATTCAATGATTCTAAGACACATCCATCAGTGTTGGAGTCCAGCCCACTTGCGGTGGCAATAAATACTTGCTGTTATGTTGTAGACACAATGGAACATGGATCCTGCTGAGGCTCACATTACTTTCATCTTCTTTAATGTGAGAGAGAAGGTTCAAAATGTCCTATGTTTGGCAAAACATCAGATAACCAGGTGGTGTAAGATGGAATTCTGAAGCCGAATCTTTACATGTTCTTTGTAAAGATACATGTTAGAAACCCACCAGACCAGCCTACTCCTATAAAACAGCAAAGCATCCTGAGGTGTTTTACAAATATGTTGCCACACAGACTCTGACACTTCACGAAAGTAGTCTTTAGGGTTCTTGTGGCTGGTGGCAGTGTGCCCACCTCAGGACCAGGAGGCCTGGGCTCAAATCCCTCCTGCTCCAGAGGTGTGTCCTGACAGGTTGATTAGAAGCTATCACACACTGTGTCAAATGATGGGGAGGTGAGGCGAAACTTGGTCAAAGAGGTTGTTTCCAGAGAGCCTTTCAAAAGAGGAAAGAGGGAGGGGATGGATTTCCAGAGCTTGGGGCAGCGAAAGGAAGGAAACTGAGCATTCCCAAGAAACCAGAATTGGAGGAGCGGAAAGATTTTTGGAAATAATATTCATGAAGCAAAGTAATATTCAATGGTAGGTAATGCTCCCAGTATAAAGAGAGGTGTAATGTTACTCAGGGGCTAACTGGAGGGTTGATCTCAATTGACAACAATCAGTAGGCAGGAAATGTTGAATAATTTACTCCTTTCCTTTTGAATAAACTCTTTGTGTGCATCTTTCTTTTACAGAAGATGGGTCCCATGTGTGTCAGGAGGCCGGTGTGGAACCACAGCTTAATGGCTACACTGTTTCTCGTGGGATTGCTTTTCCCACCCTCATACTCCTGTTATGGACAGATCGACCCCCTAGCTCTGGGTCGGGCGAACCCTCAGTGTTGGGAATCCTCCTCTGCCCTTCTTCTTGAGATGAGGAAACCCCGGATCGCGGACACTGTCAGCGGTTTCTGGGATTTCATGATCTACCTGAAGTCGTCGGATGAGTCCAAGCATGCTGCTCTCTTCTGGGTCCTGGCACAGCTCTTCTGGGACATCTACGTGGACTGTATGGTATCGCGGACCCACGGACTGGGACGGAGGCGGTTCACTGACAATGAGAAGGAACTAACCGCTCTCCACACTCAGATCTCAGGCAGTATGTCCCCAACCGCCTCTCGCTGTTCATTCATCCACCGATCCCCTCATTCCATTTACCCTCCACCTCACACCCTCCGCTCCTCCTGGCCTCCTGCCACTTTGCCCAGATGGTCATTCACATGCATGAGCCCCCATAGTTACAGCAGCATGAACAACTTGCATTTGCAAGGCATCTTTTCATGTGCTAAAATCTCTGGAGGCCCTTTTACAGAGGCTTCATCGGCAAAGGGAACATTTTGGGCAGGTGGTCAGGGACTGGGTCTGACAAGTAGATTTCAAAGTTGGACGGAAAGAATAGAGAGATGGAGATGTTTAGAGAGAAAATTCCAGGACTCCCTTTGTGGCTCGGTATCAAGTTTTGTTTGGTAACATTTCTGTGGAGTGCTTTGGAACATTTTGCTACTTTAAAGGTACTATATAAATGCACATGTGTGGGCACTTGTGAAATTTTCCTGTGATCCTAATTTGCCACAATAAGTAAAACATACACAAATTTATTATTCAAACCAGATCGACTTGCAACTAAGTGTTGAACCAAGTTGAGTTGCATTTAATGGTTAAACAGCAGTCACATTGTGAGATCTGAACAAAATTGCTCTGCATTTCTTTGGGCGGAGGAATGTTACAAGCTTGACCCTTTCGTTCTTGTCAGAGAAGTGTTTTTGCTAATCACATGTACTGCCCTGGATAATCCACAGTAAAAACTGTTGCGAATAGAATAGCCAGAAATATGAAGGGCTGAGTTTTAGTGCCTCAATGGGACATCTGCACAGAAGTACCTGGCACCACCAGCTAGATGTGCCCAGTTCCCCTGGGCTAGCTTCCTGGAAGTGGGTATTGGTACAGCCCAGGTTCACTAATCTTGTTAAATAGCTCCAAAATACCAGGAAAACTCTACCGGAGATATTTACTGACAAAACTCCAGGGGACCAAGTTGTTTCACCACCTTCCCTGGTCTTTATCTCATTTGCTATCTCAAGACCATCTTTTTAGAAAGCGTTGACAAAGATTAGATGACGGGCACAAATTTTGCACATTCCTTTCCCTCTGCCAAAAAGGAAGAAAACGTGGATCGTTAAAAGTTTCATCATTAACTCCTGAAGCAGTCCACATGTGAGCAAAATGATCATTGTTCAACTCACTGTGCCATTTGTAAGTCAAAAACTCTCATGTATATATGTAAGAATATTCTACAAATCTGCTTCTGAGAGTAGATTAGACTTATCAAATCAAGAGGAACCCGAATTTTACCAAAAAAAACGGCAATGTTAATTTTGGGGAGTTTTGTGGAGGATTTCTCTCCATGAGCTCTGGTGAGATTTATCAAGCAGTTCTCTGCTGCGCACCTTATTACATAGGCATCACTCCTCTAAGGCACACACTCTCCCTATATCCTACACTCTCCAGCAGCACTAATGCTCTTTTGGAAACTTCTGGGATTCATGCCCAGAAGGGAGCACCATATTTAAGCTCAAGCTGTGCACCAGCGTGCCAGGAGCTACCCTTCACAGTCACGCTGTTGGAAAAATTGCCCCAGAGATGGCAGACAGAAGCAGGTTGGCATCCCGATTTGCCAATTGAGACCTGCAGGTCTTGGTGGATGGAGGGCTGTGGAGGAAGAACGTTATCTTTCCATAGAACCACCAGAGGAGGCCGTGCCACCAGACCCTGCCAGCCTGGTCTGAAGCTGCCACTGGGGTCAGTGAGTGCCCGGAGGAATGCCTGGCTCTGTTGACATGTTAATGACTATTTACACTCCATGAGGGTAATGCTACCATCCTCCATCAGCTGCCTCACACTCACCCTAACTCTGTCACTTCTTATGTCTTCTGCCAAGGCTCCTGACCTACTATTTTCACCATTGCACACAGCACCTTCCCTCAATAAAAATCGAAAGAATTGCAGACGCTGGAAACTGGAAATGAAAACAGAAATTGCTGAAAAAGCTCGAGAGGTCTGTCATTATCTGTGGAGAGAAATCAGAGTTAATATTTCAGGTTTGAGTGACCCTTTCTCAGATCTTCCCTGAATGGCTTTTTATCCACACCATTGGCCCAGAACACTAAGCCTTTTTCTACCCCTGCGCATCCTACTCGCTCATTCGAGAAACCTCATCTTTTCCTTCACTTGCAACACAACTAACAACGGTGGCTAGCTATTTCCATATCACTGAATCCCTTCCTTTGTCTCATTGCGGGACATGACAGTCCACAGCAACAGACCCTGAAAGAGCCAAAATGGGTGGTAGGGTCTTTATCCTTTTGCCACATATGAGGGAAGAATTCTTGAGCTGGTGGGAGAGGATACTGATTGCTCATGAGGGATTATTGAGACCTCCGCATCCTTACAACCAAGTCAGATTCTTTGTAAACTCCGTCACTGTCTTCCCATTGCCAGCACTGTGATTGTATTCTCAACATGGCCAAGCTATTACCCATATTTCACCACTCTCTCAGCTTCCGCAGGCACCGGTGGCATCCAAATAATCTCTGCCCTTGACAGGGCAACTCCGCCAGCTCAGATACTGTCACCTCAGTGGGTTTTTTATACATATTAGAGTGTGGGAGCACAATCTGGTGAGCACCTCACTGCGAGATCTCTGTAACAGGATGAGAGAGGAATGGTGCCAGTCTGCTGGCACTTGGAGGGCTGCCAGAGACCAGGGGCCTGCTCAGTCCTGTGCAGGAGAGGGGCCCATGGTGTCGGTGTTTGAGAACTTCAATCAAATGCACAAACTTGCAGAGAACCTACAGGTGCGTTTGTTGGAGGGTGTCCCCCAACTCTGTCCCCCTAGTGTCACTCTGTACTGTGCCATCTAGATTCTCTGTGGGTGAGTGGCTGCCAAGGGGGAGCCAGGTTCAGTGACCCAGATAATCTTCTGGATATTCGCACTGACTTGCACTCTATCACTCTAACCATTGGCGCTCAGTATCAATGGCAAGGTGACAAGGGGACGTGAGACTTTGACCTCACTCTGGGTGCCCGTTCCTCAGAAGGAAAGAGGGTGCTGCCAACTGGTACCCAAGCAGAGGTAGCCCCACATATAGACACCCCTTGCACCCCAGAAGTTTCCTCTCAGGATGTTGCCTGGCCCCTCCACCTCCACCCTGCCCTCACAATCCCCAACCACCATGCGAGGGTTAAAGCTGAGGGGGAGAATCCAGATCTGGCCACAAATGTCTCGGGTTTTCCACCCAAAATTCCAAGGTGGGCAAGCACCCTGTAGCTCAGCTGCCAGACCCCAGTACTGCACCTGGAAAAAAAACATTGCAAGGGCACTTGGGTTACATGGACAGAACCTCAATGTAAGTACATTACCATGTTTTTAAAGTTTTTTTAAGCATTAGCAATGTGAATGAGTGTCACCTTAGCGCAGCTACAGAAATGAAGCTGGAGAGTGTAGCCATCTTTAGCTCTACCTGGTATTTCAATGCTGTCCGAATGACATCTATCATTGCCATAGCATCCAGACCAACATTAAGATTAAGATTTCATTTATTGTCATGTGTATTCAATGTAAAAATACAGTGAAAAGTGGTAACCTTTGCCATACATACATGGCGCCATTCACATTAACTTTGAATAAGATAAGAAAAAAAGATAATTTAAGAGAGTCCAACTGTCCTTTCCACTGCTGCAGTCCCACTCCGGGCTTTCCAGCCTTCGCCGTGTCACTGCCAGCGTCCGCTCTGGGGTGCCTCACTGGCCCGGTCTCGACCCACTGCTGGCTCCGGCCCACGCTTGATCCGCCGTCACTGCAGGACACGACCTGTGCGTTCAGCTCCCGCCACTTGATTCCCGGTCGCGATCCAGCTCCTTCCCGACTCCTTAGGTAGGTAGTTAAAAGGTGTGGGTGGGGGGGGAATAGAATTACTACACAGGGGAAGAAGAAGGGAGAAAAAGGAAAGGACAAGGATAGAATGAGAAAGAGAACTGGTGAGCAGAGTGGAGCTCTGAATGGCACGACTTACCCTGCTGCCATCTTGCCGGAAGCCATGAAAGTTTGTCAAGATTGAATGAAGAAGCATTAGATATTCTGAAGGCTTCCACCAGTATGTAACCTTAACTTATATCAAACTATAGGCAAAGTGTCCAATAATTGAACTATTAAGTTGCATTTGCAATTGGGATCAACTTGGCGGTTGTAGGCTTGTATGAAACCTTTACAGTCAGAGAAGTGTGACTTCATGCAACTCCGTTCCATTGAAAGAGGTGGACACGGTGCTGCCTGGTTTGCTTAGGCCAGCACTGCTGCTGATACAGGGCTGCTGTAGTTTCGACTCAGTGCAATACTACAGTTCTCTCCGATCCTCATCGTCCATCACATAACATTGCGTCCAGTCGTCTGGTGCAAGGCATCGAAGGAGTGAGTGGTATCCTCTGTCTTTACTGTATTGCAACAGCTCCCCAATCCCCTAACCTGACAGCATAGTGACCTGATGTAGAGGAGACACCTTACGGCCATCATTGGCCCCAATGGAACATGCTGTTGCATTGCAGATATACTGGGCATTTTGACGTCATATCTGACCACCACCTCTAAACAGAGCCACTATCCCTCTCCCATCTGCATGGCATTCCATGTAAGATGAGTGACTATGAGGTTCCTGTGTATTTGCTGCAACAAGAGGGCTCCATGGCTGGAAACTCCGCATTCAAAGGCTGCAATGTATCCGCTTGAGGCTGCTCCTAGGCCTCCAGAAACATGGATCCTCATCCATTCCTGTGGATGCTATTAGTGCAGATGCCCCAGAGAGACCTACAGCTTCTGCACCTGGATCCATTGGGTCCAATGAGCCTACGTGGGGAATATCAGCAACAAAGCAGCTCCTCAGTCATGGGATCAGTCAGCTCTTGCAGTACACATGACTCGGATTAAAGTGTGATGTTAGATGAGATGGTGAAGATCACTCATGGCCAGTATTTTCAGTCAAGACAGTTATTCAATGGATAAGGTTCACATGAAGAACTTTGTGATAACAGACATCTTTAACATGT